AATTACCTAAAACATGAATTATAAAATTAGCTACAGAGTATTCCTTTAATGAAATATCTTGTAATAATTAAAAATCATTTTCAACTACACAGGAAAACACAGAGAGCACTAGACTCTAAAAAGAAATATACAAAACCATTGTATGGTGTAGGATTGCAATTTATACACACATGCAATTTAACCACAATGACTTTGGAGTATTGGAATTAATTAGGAGCAATTTTATCTTGTTATTTATATTTATTATTCAAAAATTTTAGAATAAATGTTTGTTACATTCAGAAAAAAAAAAAAAAACATTTCCATGCCTTTCGTGCATGATGGGAATGAGGAGAAGAGAAAATAGGAAAACAAAAAGGCAGAACGTCTGCTTTTAGGCACGTGAGTGTGCTGCGTGTGGGCACAGGTGTGCTGAGACGGGCCTTCCGGGCCCTGGGCAGCTGGGTAGCACCCGACGTGGGAGTCCCTTTGGTCTCCTGCATGGCGGGCTGGTGGCTGACCTGAGTGCTCCACACACATACCACTATTTTCTGCCTGCACTGTGATGTGCATAATGCCAGGAACTAGCTGCACAGCAGCCTCGCTGGAGAAGAGGAATGTATCTCATACCTACGTGCTATGCTTGCAGCTTGAACGACCCGCGGTGCTCGTGTGTGGAAGACTGGTCCCTACCCCAGGGTGGGGGTGGAAACTGTGGGAGGTGGGGCAGCGGAGGAAGAGACACTGGGACCCTCCCCCTTCCCATCTCTGTGGCTCTTGTCCTTTCTCTCTGACTCCAGGCTGCCCCCAGCAGGAAGCTCTCCTCTGCCGTCCTTTCATGATGCCATGTCTGCCTTGAGCAGCTGACCTGGACTGAAACCTCCAAACCCATGAGGCGAGTAAACCTCTCCTTGAAGCTGTTTCCTCAGGTGCTTTGTCACAGCAGTGGAGAGCTGGCCAACAGGACACCTATTCCCTTTTACTCCTGCAGAATGATAAGCTGATAATGAGAGTGTTCGCACGAGAAAGCAGTCTGCTGTAGAATGTGTGGCACCCAAGATATCGCAGAATTTGATAAAAATGCAACCAACAATGCTAGCACATCTATTAGTACTATTTTTAATAGTAGTTCATGGTGAATCTATTTGTTTCTCCAACAGACTGAAGACCATAACCTGGGGAAACTTTATTTAACGTTTCATTGTTAAACATGTTCCTGTCATTTAAATCAAATATAGCTGGTCTGTTTGATATACAAGTTCAGTGAAAGCGTCAATAAAACACTTGAAAATAGCCGTGCTATATTCAGAACAGTGCAACTATGCGCTGCCAGTGAGAAAATGTCTAGAGAATGGGACAGGGTGTTCTTATTTGGCTGTGTTTTGACGAGCAGGAGTAAAGCACCTGTAGATAAAGTGCTTTCTACAGCTCTGGGATACGCACGGAAACTTGGAGGGTGTTAGCATATGAGTGACGCGGACAGCAGTACATTTAAAACAGCTTCTCATGCTCGTCTATGGCACCTGACACCAAAGGAAGACCGAGGAGCAAACCGCCCCCACTGAAATTTAACTTCACAAAAATGAAACTGCACACTAAGTGCTTCGCAAGAGTCAAAAGAAACTGCACCAAAACCTTCGTGCCCACCTGCCAGTGATGAGCACACAAGCAAAAAAAAAAAAACGAATTGAATGTCTCAAAAATTATAAATTGTTCTTCCTCACTGCATATCCCCACACCCACCCTCAAAAAGCACTGAAATAGTCTTAGATTTTCATCAGACTTTTCAGACATGATGGTTAGCATGCGACATTTTAAACAAAAAGATAAACTTAGATTCTCTTCCGAAATTCTCTTGCGGTAAAATTAGAAGCAGAAAGTTTCTGCTTTAGAAATATACATTTTTTTAAAGACCTCAAATCCACAAACGGCCTAGACATTGTGGAGATGCTCAGTTCAGGAAAGACTCGTGTTCACAAAAGCATCCCTGCATCCAGAAAAGTAAAAACCTCTGTCCACACGGAGGAAAGCGCAGGCCACACACTCACCTGTGGGTCGGCCAGCGTGGCCCAGGTGGGTCCTGAGCTGAGGCCTGATGCCTCTGGCCGTGTCGTTCCAGGCTCCCGTGCTCTGAGCTGCATCCTGCCTGCTGCTTACTGATCTGCATTCCGCGAATGGCACCTAGCTCGCTCGGGCGCGCAGGGCCAAGGTCTGGGGGCCGTCACTGTCTCCTCGCTGCTAGTTTCTGCTGGCGCCCGCCAGAGGCTAAACAAGTATGTGCAGCTGAGTGAGTGCTCTCACTTGTTCATGCAGTCCACAAACTATCTCTTGCGTGGTGGGTACTCTCCCAAAGGTCAGGAGTGGGGCTAAGATGGGGCACTTTATAGCAAGATACAGCCAAGGTTCTAGCAGAGAAAAGCACTGCTTCAGGGGAGGAGAGCCCAGGGCTGTGGCTTAGGACAGGACTTTAAGGCTTCACGGGGAAAGATGGAGACACAGGTGAGGTCTCAGGGCTCTTGGTACAGGGGGAGACACTAATTACACATCTGAGCTGCGATGGTGCTTTGACAAGGTCTACAAGCACGGGGATTTGAATATCTATGGGAACACGATCTGCTGAGTAACCACAAAGAGGTCCGACAAGGCCGGCACTGCATCAGACATTGATCGCAGGCTGAAGTCATAAATGCTTCAGAAGCTTCAGTGACAGGATCTTTGGGGAAAAATCTTTCCCACATGAGACCTATCAGTGTTGCTGTTCAAAATCCCACACACGTACCTGAAATGAAATCTGGAGCAATTTCTCCAGTTGGTATTTGCTACAGTTTAGGTCCAGGTTGCCCCCAAAAGCCTCATGAGGTGGGCTGTGGGGTGACGGGCCCAGGGACACGGCACTCACCAGCAGATTCCACACGGATGAGTGCAAGGCTGGGTGTGCTGTAGGAGGTGGAGTCGGGGGAGAGGCGGCCCCGGGAGCACTGCCTGGAAGGGTCTGTCACCCGCCTCCCTTCCCCCTTTCCTCACCACCGTGAGAAGAGCAGCTTTCCTCCGCCAGACCCTCCTGCCCTGGAGCCCACAATCACCTAAACACCGGCAGCTAAAATAAACCTCTGGTCCCTTAAGTCAGGGTGCCGGGTGTTGGGTCCCAGCTGTGACAGACAGTATTTTAACTGTGCTGTGCTCTGAGGTGATCCACAGAAATTCAAGTGGTGAGTAACTGAATATCTCAACAAGGAAGGGAGCCGCCCTGGCACACACTGCTCTCCCACACGCACGGATCGCCAGTGTCCTGTAGTTTTGGTGTTTTTAGATATAAGATAAAACATTCAGCGGCCACTAAATTGTATGTAAATAAGTAGAACAAAGTAAAGACTGGCCCAAATGCTTACTATCATGGACACAGGAGAAATGTAACTCTCAGGGTGCTCGATGTCAGAAGTGCTGAGTTCAGCCCCCCTGAAACAGAAGAATGAATCCCAAGGGCCAACGGAGCGTAAGAGTGGGAAATGTTGACTGAGAGATGGCGACCGAGAGACAGAAGGGGGTGGCCACCAGGCCCTCTGTCTAGGGCAATTGATACAGCAAAGTCATAATGTGGGTGCAAGGTGAGTCAAACTGCAGGCACCCTGTAGGGTTACAAGTATAGCCGCTTAGCTACTGTGGATCCCATAGGGAAGTGAGTGACGTGGAGAGGGAACAGGAAAAACAAAGACTTCTGGGGAAGGGATGGCCATGGTGCTCCGGTCACCCACTAGGGTAACTGAGGCCCGGACTCACAGGACCAGGTGGGCTAATTACCATGTAATCCCAAGGTACCGCTTATCCCCCAGGGAGGCACGCAGGCCTGGCCGTCGCATCTCTATTTTGAGGCCTGGCCTTGTTCAGATGCTCCTCCAGCCACAGCTCTGATGTCTTTATTTTCTGCCGAATTTCTTGTGAGCCCAGTCCCTCTCTGACTGTATATTAATGTTTATCTAACTTAGCTGCCTGTAACAATAGGATTTACTTTAAAAAAAAAAAGAGCATCAAATGCAAACTGCTCTGTTTGAAAGGTGGGTGTCGCCAAGCTGTGAGACCCCAGGGGAGATGGGAAGGCTCACTTCGCACAAGTGAGAGCACACACAGTTCCTCCTCCTGGGACGCAATCTGCAGGACACAGTGAAGAGAGGACACCCACGCCCAGCACACAGCATCCTGGCCCTCAGGTGAGAAATGAAGACAGATTCTCAGGAAGGCCCAAGAATTTTCAGTGCTTCATTATGTAGAATAGAACGAGTTGGCAGCATGGCAAGCATCCATCAGCAAGGAAACCGACGCTGAAACACAGTGGCTGCACCGATAGAGCATCTCACAGTAACATGAAATAATAAAGAAGCTCGATTCCATCAGCACATGACAAAACAGCACATGTGGGTGAATTCAAGTCATGTGCCCACAAACCAACCCTCTTCAATTTTATGTTTTCAAAAATATGTGAGAATGTATATGAGACACGTTGTAAGAGTAGAGACTGGAAACAAGGCATGAAGGGGAAAAGATGGAATTAATGTGAGGAGAGAATCCTGAAATAGCCCAGTTGCAGCAATTGCTATGAAATCAATTCTGTAATTAGCACAGCCCTCTGCATTACCAAGGACAAAATCCAGACAAAATAACATTAGGCCAAAGCAAAGACTCATTAAACACAGAGCAGTGTTTCCAATCTTTCGCTAGCATCATGATATTACCCATGAAACATATGTCTATATATGCAGGCATAAAAGGCCGCCTTTTGCTTCTTCTCCCAGCCTAACCACTGCATATACCTGAATCACATCTGAGGGCAGGTGCAGGCACAGACCCTTGCACAGATGTTTGGGAACATAGAGCAGACAGAGCCTGACACACGTGCATCTTATTTATTGATTACATGGAGTAGGAGGATTCTTAGGATTCAGGACTTTTGCTGCTAAACCCACAAAACCCCAGGGTGAGTTGGTCCCTTGCTCATTCTGTGAGCAAATTCGATAGCACGCCCTCACCTCTGCAGTGTGGTTTGCTCTGTTATTAGCTTCACTCTGCTCCTTACAGCAAGGTATTTTTTTTCAATCTTTTAGGAACTTTGGACATTCCATTCATGGAAATCCTATGAGCAAAAAGAAAATAATTTCAGATATTTTAGATATAAAACTAATGGAATGCATATAAAATTTTATAAAACTAACCCAAAGTCAAAAAGAAATTATACAGTATTATCTAAATTATCCAGGCAGTAAGTTCTATAACACAGCATGATAAAATTGAGAAATATAAGTAGTCCTTGGTCAAAGTTATTTTTCACAGCAAAGAGACGATGGAGCAAGCAAGTATAAAAAGATGAGTAGAAAATGCCAGATCCATAAATCAGACGATAGTGAAATCCTCGTTACAGTGTAGTCACAACCTCACACACTATTGAGGCCACAGACAGAATAGTTTTGTTCACTTCTTCATATAAAATAACATTAATATTATATAAAATAACTTCATTTTTACTGCCCAAAATCTAATGTGAAAGATACGACATTATTTTTTTGTTCAATTATTTATTTTCTTTTCATTCCCAAACAAAAGTCCCCACTGGCCTCTTGGAAGCTATTACTTTTTTATGTCTTATTTTGAAGACCAGAGAAAACCATATTTACCAGTAAATAAACTGCAATATTTGATTTCCTTCAGAAGAAAGTGATAGAGTCTGCACAAACGCATATGGTTTCTTGCTCCTTGGATAAATTTTGAATACATTTGCTTCCATTCATTCTCATAAGCAGTCACACAGGTCCAAGGTCACTCTAGAAATGGTCTAATTCATCATGCAACTTCTCACACTGTTGTCTGAGTTTTTACCTTTCAAGTTATACAAGGGGGAGAAACACAACTCATGTTGTAAGTAAGAATTTTAAAACAAAACATTAGAAACAGCACTATGTATTTCATGAGTCCTTGTCTTGGCCTAACTGTGCCTGGTCTAGATTCTGTCTTTGGTAATGCTGTAGAAAAGGGTTGCCAGGCACTGCGGCACACCTGCGTAATCACAACATTCTGTGAGGCTGAAGCAGGGTGATTACAACTTGGAGCCCAGCCAGGTCAACTTAGCAAATCAGCAAGACCTTCTCTTCCAATAAAAAAAATTGTAAAAGGCTGGGGATGTAGCTCACTGGAAATGCCCGGGTTCAGTAGCCAGTACTACAAGCAAAAGGCGAGACAGAGACACAGACAGAGACAGACAGGAAGGCGGAGCGACAGAGAGAGAGAGACAGAGGCTGTGGGCAGTGCACTTTGCGGAGAAGCAAACAAAACCTGATCTGCCCCTGACTCTCCCAGGGTAGGCAGGAAGGGCAGCATCGCGTCACGGTCCCCAGCCGACTGAGACGCGGGTGCCCGGCAGGGCTCAGGGGGCCTCACAGCCCTCTGCTGTCGAACTCAGAGGCTCACAGAGCAGAGGTTGGTTCTATGAAAAGGAGGCAGCAACAATGAAAAAGGAAAACGTTCAAACTCTTCAGAACATGAACTAAGGAGAAATAAGTCAGAGGCCAGTGAAGATTTTGAAACTGTGAGAGGATCACTCACCAGGACTCGTGCACTGGCTGTGCGTGTCCTGTGGAGGACCCCGTTGGTCACCAAAGCAACCTGTGCCCGCATGGTGGCAGGACACCAGGACACTCTGTGAGGGGAGTGCTGCCAGCGCCTGCCTGGGATCCCCAGCGGAGCGGGCAAAGCCAGTGAGCCAGGTCGCTGAAGCGGGCAATGCCAGTGAGACAGGTCGCTGAAGCGGGCACGGAGCGGCGCGGCCGGATGGGAGTTCGCGGGAAGCTGAGCTTTTCCAGTCTGAGGTTTGGGTGGCTGGGCTGTCTGGGGAGGACGCGGAGCCTAGCCCTGAAGACTCCCATGTACCCTCACCACGTTCTCCTGGGCTTCCATCCTTCCTACCCGGTTCCCCTCCCGAGCAAGGGCAAGAACATAAAGTGACTGGAACCTGCATTTCATTTCTAGGAGCTGGCTACGCTTCTTGAAGACCTGCATTGCATATTTGACATATTTTCTGCTGAACACACACTTGTTTAATTTATTTTTCCTCTCACTTCTTATATGCTTCATATTCTAAAAGGTTTCCGTGCAGCTTAAACCAATGAAAATGATTTTTTAACTATATCAGTTAGAATTTTTATATATTTTATTAACATATACATGTTCTACATAGCAATAGACTTCAATGTGATCATTCTCTGTATCCATACGACATGTACTAATCAAATCCAGCCACCACTGCCACTCTCCCACCCCACACCCTTCCCGACTGCTCTAAATCACTATGCCAGTTAAAGTTCCCTGTTTCTTTGGCCAGTGGGCTGCAGGAGATCGCCTCAGAGGGGCACTCTGCCACCCAGCCACACTCACAGCCACCACGGTCACCTTTGTGAACAAGTGTGTCTTCAACATGTGATCCTTTGATAAAGGGTTATTTTTATATAGTAAATGTGCCAAATCTACATTATCACTAATACATTTTTATTCCAACATTAATAATTATTTGCTCACATAGCAAATAATTATTGAGCACCTAGAATGTGCCTGTTTTGAGATTATATCAATACACCGAAATTGATTTGAGTGTTAATGCAACTCCCAGTCTAGCAATTGGTGTGGAAAAAAGTTTTTAAAATAGCAATACTGTGAAAAGAAATTTCTAATGGTATAGCATTTTCAATCTCCAAAAGCATGAGTTGAAATATCTGTGGCATCACAGTTTCTCTTGCTTTTTGAACAGTTTCTTCCCAATTCACAATATCTAATGTACATTTGGGATCTTATTTACTCTTTCAGTTTCTTATACAGGGAGACAATGCAATGTTTACGCCTGGGAGTCTGATTTATTTCACTTACAAATATGGTCTTGAGTTGCATCCATTTCCCTATAATAGTCTCCAGTTCATCCTTCTTTATGGCTTTGTACTCTGAGTAACTACTGTGAAGATAACAAGACAATGTATTAATTATTGTTATTCTCCTATTAGCCTGTTTTGAAACTCTGTTTTATTCTTATTTTTATTCTTTTCTCTTTAAAATAAAAAAAGGAATATCTGTAGCAAACTAAGGTATATCGGAGCCACAGAATTACCAAAGGACCCAAATTCTCAAGGACAGAGTTTGTTTTGCTAGTGAAAGTGAGCATCTCCGTCTCTCTCCTTCCCCGGGACTCAGCACTCAAAGTTCTCAGCTTCATGGAAGAAGGTCACTTTGGTTGATGTTTTTCCAGATTGGTCACCCGGCACCAGAGCAGAACCAGGAAGCAGAGGAGCAGGGTGGATGGGAAGGTGCCCAGCCCTGGAGGCCAGGAACCGGTGAGAAGGCAGGAGCTGGGGCAGGAGATGCCCTGAGGTCACAGGTCAGGCCCTGCCTGTCCCTGTCCCGGACAGACCACCTCCTCACAGGACAGTCAGCAGCGCCCCTCCAGTCACCTTCTAAACCATGGAGGGCTGGGGGCAGCCCAGACCTCAACCCTAACGGAGAGGGGCATCTTCAGTGATCACCTTTGCAGGAGCTCCGCTTCATTTCACTTCTGCTAAAATGTGGGCTTTTGCCCCATTTTCTGAACAGGAACACCGAGAACACTAGACAACACACTGAACTACCAGACTTCCCATGTAGAAAGCTGTCTACAGCACACTTACAGCAAGATATTTCAAGGAAAAATCATACTTTAGAGGTTTTCTTTTTATTTCTGAGACAGGGACTTGCTAGGCACTTCAGGCTGGCTTTGAGCTCACTGTGTAGCCCAGGTTTCCCTGGATGTGCAGCAATCCTCCTGCCTTGGCCTCTGAGTGCTGGGATTACAGGTGTGCACCACCACCCCCAGTGCACGCTGTAGATTTTAAAGTAGAATATTTCAAAACTCACTTATTGTGATGCAGTACCTTCCTGTACACTTTCTTTAGGAGAAGCAGTGCTCCAGGCATCTACTTCCTCAGGCATGCTGGAGGTGTGTGCTCCACTCTGGAAAGAACTAGTGGCACCTGCTCTACCTGGGCTTGGCCTCTGTTCTACTCAAGATGTTCACAGTACCCAAGGTCCACCACCACTCTGTCACTGCCGTCCAGCCTCACCCATCCCTAAGGCCAGAAAGTTCACTTGATGACCTCTAGGTTTAGCGAACTGTCAGACACTGCTCTGAGACTTAGGACAGAAGCAGAAAGGGAAAGGGAAGGGGACCGGGGAAGAGCAAGAGGAGAGGGAAGAGAAGGAGAGGAGGAGGAGGAAGAAGAGGAGGAAAAGGAGAAGGAGGAGGAGAAGCAGAAGAGGAGGAGGAGGAGGAAGAAGAAGAAGGAGGAGGAGGAGGAGAAAGAGAAGGAGAAGGAGAAGAAGGAGAAGGAGAAGGAAAAGAAGAGAAAGAGGAGAAAGAGGAAGAGGAGAAGAATAAGAAGAAGGAAGTAAAGGCATGGATTTGACTGAGGACATGGAAAGGGAATGACACCACAGAATGTTTTGTACCTCATATGTCAGAAAGCCTTGAGCTGTTGCAGGTGTTCAGTGCATAATAGTTAAAGTTATGAACAAACAAATGCATTAAAAATTTACTCCAAAAAGCCCGAGAGAGTTAACAAGAAAGACTGTGAAAAACCCAGGTGAAGAGGAAGGAAAGCAAACTCGCATAACTTTTAAGGGTTGGTCAAGTAAGGAGAAAGTGGAAAACCCACTGCAGAGATGTTAAGGCTGCTATAGCTAAACTCACTCATGCAAAACTACTCACAGAACCTGTGCAGACATGAGTACACACGGGAGTGCAAAGCAGGCAGTGCTCAGCCCAATGACACACCCATGTGGATGACACCTCAGTGTGGATTACACACACCCCAGTGTGGATGAAACACACCTGCCCGTGACACAGCCCCACTGTAGGATGGCAGCCGGTAATGAAATGAAGTATTCCAGAACCTCCTGCTAAAACCAAACAAACAAACAATAGGAAACAAAACAGAAAAAGTAGTAAAGTAGTTGTTTATACACGTGAACATTAGACAGCCCGGGGATGTGAGAGCTGAGCGGAGAGAGACAGCCTATGCCTGGTGTAGGCTGCAGAGCAGAGCTCCAGGGTCTGCTACATTACAGAGGCAGATGAAGGGGCTGAGGCATGGCTGGAAGGTGCAGGGCAGAGCCCTGGGGAGAAAGAGTCTGAGATCTAAGAGGACCCCTCAGGCCCGTGGCCGACTTCCTGCAGTGCTCCTGCAGGGTGAAAATCCATGACACTCCCCATGATCCAGTCACCTTTTGAAACACAGGATCAAGAGGAGGAAGAGACGTTTATTCATTCATTCACTCATTCATTCATTCTTTTATTGTGGTACTGGGGATTGAGTGCAAGGCCTTTACACAAAGATATATCCCTAGTCCTTTTTAATTTTTATTTTGAGACAAGATCTTACTAAGTTACTAAGTTACCCAGGCTGGGCTTGATCTTGTGATCCTCTGGCCTTAGCCCTCCACAGTGCTAGGATTATAGCACATCTGGCTGAGACTTTTTTGTAGTAGCACGGATTAAGCCCATGTCCCTCACACCTGGCCACATCTCTAAACCCTCTTTTGTAATTCTTTATTTTGTGACAGGTTTGCACTGAGTTGCTAAATTGCCTGGGCTTGGCTTGAACCTGTGACTCTCCTGCCAGGATTACAGAACTGCACCACAAGGCATACATCTAATATGCAGTGCACTCAGCGTAGACCTTCAGAGAGTCACTTCTCAGTAGAGGATATGGCATACCCAGAGTAGAGGCTGCTCTTGAGCATATAAAAAGTTTAAAAACCACATACGTGCATTGGCATTCATTTCCTACGGATGAAAAAATTACTGCAAATGTATCTGGTTAAATCAAGCTGCAATCAAGACTGCACCCAAGCAGCAGTACCAGCTTGTGCTTCCCCTGGGGAACCTGCTCCCAAGCTCTCTCAGCTGCCATGCGACAAGATCTAATCAGGACAGAAGCACAGCATCAGCCCCACCACCATCCTGGGTAGGAGCACTCCAGGGTGAGGGATGACACCGGGCGTGGAGCCCAGAAGTCAGGGCCTGGGGGCTGCCCTAATGCTTGTCACCCACACTGTGCCAGAAAGAAGCCCAAACTCTTCAAATGGATAACAAAAAATCAAATAGGCCATACTGTGGGACGTTTAAGACCAATTGATGAGTCAAATCAGCAAGCATGAAAACTGGAAAACATAACCCATAACAGTCAATTGATAAAAAGAGATGCTTAAATGACAGAGGCCATGGGATTGTCCACCAGGGACCGTACATGTTTATTCTAAGACTTATAAATACGTTCAGGAATAAATAAGAGCAGATGAAGAAATTATGCAGAAGTTTGAAAGACTCCACTTAAACTCATAGCAAAAAACTACACATTTTGAAATAATATGTTGGATGGGAATCATAGTAGACTAAATACTGGAGATGTGAACACCTAAAGACACAACACACGAATAAGTTAAGGAGAAAAATGGGTCCTCAGAAAAGTGTGGAACCATATCTAACAGTCTAACATATGCATAGTCAGAGATTCATGAAGAAAGGAAAGTTATAGAGAGGTGAAATAATTGCTGAACATTTTAAAAATTGATGAAAATTATGCATCCAGATATCCTAGGTACTCATAAATATTGATCAAATAAAACATAAAGAAAGGCACAAATAAAACTGTAATGTGTTGCTTAAAAGACAAGTCATAGACTATGAAAAAATATCTGCAAGCAACTTACTGAAAAATGAGTTGTCTCCCAGAATGAAAAAAGAACCCTCAGAATAAATAATAGGGAAAGCAACAAATAAAAATTATAACAAATGTTTAACATATGTTTCACCAAAGAGCATAAATAGATTTCGTGTAATTATATAAAACATGATTAGTCATTAGAAAAATAAAAAAGAATACTACAGTGAGATAGCACTATACCCTCAGAAAAATGACTAAAATTAAAATATCAGTAATATTAATGTTGATAATGGTAGGTGAAAACCAGAAGTCAAGCTACATAATACAGTTACTACGGGGTCATTTTGGTGGGCCCTTGTAAATAAACATATCACTTGCCCTGTCAGTCAATAGGCCCATGCCTCAGGATTTATCCAGGAGAAATAAAGACTCCAAAGACCCTCACACACATTTGCACACAGTTTTAGCCACTACTGTATCTAGATGTGCCCCCAGAGCCTCATGTGCTTGTAAGTGAGACTTTTGGGTTTACTGGATCTTGATGTGTCGTACTAGATTAGCAAATGGGTTTACAGCCAGGCATGAGGTTAGGAGGTAAAGGCTGATAGGAACAGGTGGGTTACTGAGGTGGTGGCCTGGAAATGTGTGTCCTTCATATGCCTTTGATCCCTCTTTTCCCCCTGCCTTCCCTACCAGGAACCATTTTTCCTTTGCCATAACCCTCTGCCAGGCCACCATGCCTTGAAGCCAGCAGACTGTGGACTGAAACCTCTACAGATTTCAGGCTGAAATAAATCTCTCCTCCTTTAACTTGTGGGTGTCAGATATTCGGTCTCAGTGATGAGAAAGTGACTAAAACCTATTACCATGGAAGATCAGAAACAACACGAAGGTCTTTAAAAGGAGGAGAAACAGAGGTGGGACCTGGACGGCTCAGCACAGCACCCCCAGCCCTGCTCCTCCCAGAAGAGAGCCAGGGCCACAAGGGAATGGCTGGATGGAAGGAGAAGAGCCACAACCGAGCACTGGCCCACAAGAGCCGTGGAAACCTTCAGGGAGGGGACACACAGCAGCACAGAAGGACAGCCAAGGCCGACCTCTGCTGTACCCTCACTGCAGGAGAAGCCCAGGCCTCACGGGCTGGGACCCTCACCGGGGGTTGTCCACATGTGGTCCACATAATGCCTTTGCTGGCACCCAGCCAGAGAAAGGCGGC